CGAGGTTTGCGACCAAAGATGATGATGCCTTTTGATACTCAGCCTCCTCAGCGTATGTGTGATACCATTTCTTGCTTTAACTTTTGACAGTTATATTTGTATTTTATAACCATGAGCAGATACTAAAAGATGCAGCGGTGTCTGAGCTAGGTGAGATGTGAATTGTCCTTTCTAAAGGCCTTATGGGTGAAAACAGTGTTTCACTGATTCACTCAAACTCTGTCCCTTCTCCAGAGTCCAGGAACATCATGTATTTCTGGATACGGAGAATTGCAAGGTTGGAAAATCATTATTCAGGCATTCCTGCTGGAGAGTTCATTTCATTTGAGAGCAGGAAGGACCAGAGACAATGTTCCTTGAAACTAAATGTTGGCTGATGCACTTCGCTAGACATCTTGGGTGATACATGGATTTGTACCAGGTACTGGACAGATTCAGGAAAGTCCACTCTCATGCCCTGGCAGTATATTTCAGTGACATTACTACATTATACCCAATGAATGATTCAGTGGAAATTCTTTGTGAGATTACAGCTCATTTTGCTGGGGACGACTTAACTTAAAATCCTAAAGGAATACTCAACTGTAATTCTTTGCAGCACTGAGCAATGTACATGAGTATTTAACAGCCTCAGCAAAGCATCTAGAATCTCATTGGCAACATGAATCACTGAATTTCCTTTTAAATATTGGGTGAAAGTGCAACAGATGATGGAGCTGCTTGTAATATACATGGTACAGGTTTTATTAACAGTTGTTAGCAACTAATTGCAACCTTCATTTCAGCTTTGTGCATGTGTGTGTGTGCGCGCACGCAAGGAAGCAAAGGATTAGAGACCAAAATGAGCACCACTAATTTCAGTGAGGACTGTGTGTGATCCAACCTTGTACCAACAGTCAGCAGTTCAGTGGTTCCCTTATTCACCAGTGGAATTTTCAGTCACCCTGTAGGATCTCAGATACAAATTGCCTGCAGTAAGATTCCATAAACAACAATGTGGTAATGACTAGATAATCTGCTTTAGCTACTGGTTGAGGAAGTAGAATTGGCCAAATCACTGGGGAGAACTTATTTGCTGTTCCTCAGAATAGTGCCACACAACATTCCTTCAAAACAAATTCATTGACATGTACAACCAGTTCTTTCAGGATGTAGTTTCTTTAAATTATCAATAATGTGCCTAATCGCAGAATGGTGCCTGCGCAGTAACTGCAAACCCGCTGCATTTGGCAGCTCAGTAAGAGCCGAATGCCGAGGGATCCTTTAAGTCTGTCTGAGGATAGTTTAATATCTGTCTTGAAAGGTGAGACATGAAACAGGGCATCCATGATTCTTTGTTGGTGTAGGCCCCTAGCCAAAGGTGTAGAGAAGTTCTGAATGTGACAGTGAATTTGGGGAGAGAGAGCCCTGAACGTGATCCATTTGTCTGGGTACAGGGGGTAGTGTTTCTCTGGATCAAAATAGTTGGTTCTGTCTGTGAAGTGCTCTCTGTGTTATATTCATTCACAGCTGTGATTAGTGCTCATCCCATCCATTCACTCGACAACCCTCATCATCATCACCTTTGTGACGGACCTTCATCCCCAACTCGCAGCTACCTTCGGCATCAGATCAGCGGCCGGCCGCTTGGCCCCTCAGTAGACAGGGCCAATTCTACAGGTGAGACCTCAGCCCAGTCTCGGAACCACAAGTGTGGAGGTTTATCTGCTGCCATTAGCTTTGTTTCTAGTTTATTCCTTACTCAGGATGAGGGCAGCAGCATTTCATCCACCAGCATCTTGTCTACAACACAATGGAGCTTTTCTCGGCTCATTAATGAAGGGGATTTCTGATTAATATTTCAGCTATCACTGTCTGAGAATATTGTGGTTTTGTATTTACCAATCTCTGCCCCACCTGGGGCTATGTTTCTATATAAGTATCTTTGGATAGTTATATTTGGATGAATGGTAATGTGGAGGCTGGAAATAGCACAAGAGATTTATCTAGACAGTGAGCTTAAGGCCAGACAGGACAAAAGCATCATTTATAAACCTCCAGAAATTGGAAACAAGAAGGGGAAAGCAATTACATAACCTTAAAGGATGATTCATTTTTTTGCAAGAGCTGAACTATCATCAAAGAATGACGATTAAGAAATAATCTAACAATTTGTTGAAAAGGGTCCTGACCCGAAACGTCAACTTTCCTGCTCCTCTGATACTGCCTGGCCTGCTGTGTTCCTCCAGCTCCACACTGTGTTATCTCTGACTTTAGCATCGGCAGTTCTTACTGTCTGTTGTTGAAAAGTTAGGTGTTTTTCTGATTAGTACAACACAATTTAGCTGGCAACACATTAGTTTTCTCAAGCTGTGGAAGCACGGGAGAAGACAGATGCAGATTGTCATGAAGTTGAGGGATCATAATCAAGGACCCATTAACAAAAAATTATATGTCAGAAATTAAAACAAAAGCCATGTGAAACCTCTTCACATAGAGAACTCTGAAGCTATGGAATTAATCTGCAGGATTAATAGAAATGCAGATACCATTTCAGCTTAAAACAGTTGATTAGAAAAGTGAGTGAAGGAAAGGGTACAGAAACAAAACGTTCATGTGAATGTGCAGGGTTATGTTAACTGGTGGGCTGTTTTGTCATATAATTTATACATATTTCAATGTTTCAATTTTATGTTTACTGGATTACAGAAACAAAAGATTTGCTTTTGTTCTCCTTTGTTTAGTTGTAACCCTATCCCAAATACTAAAGCCAAATCTTAGACACTTTTCCTTAAACAATTTCCTTCATGCTGCAGGCTGACCTAGGAACATGGTTATCAAAAGACCTTCTGTAAATCTCACCTTTACAAAGAAAACAACATTTGGTGACTATTCAATTTAGAATGAGAATTACTTGTCTGGGTTAATTTTAAAATGCTGGGTTAATTTAAAAATGAATTTTGTTTTACAAAGATTAAGCATATCAGTCTGAGGTCATGTAAATTGTTCAGGCCACAATGTTTGGTGATATTTGGGAGTGTTAACTTTGGTTTTGATGATTCCTGTTTCAGAATCTGTACGGAATACACCAAATAGTGACATGTCGCCAGCACCAAGTTCCCAGGCTCACCCTGTAGAGAGTGTAGAGGCTGATGTTCCTGCAGTTTCATATTTGCCTGGATCTCAGGAGGAGGAGTCCAATCGCAGTGTTCCAACTGCCCATGTGCGTCCATCCCACCCACTGAAAAGTTTTGCTGTGATCACCATCCCTCCTGTCAGCACCAACTATGAAACAGCATCATCTAGTACACCTTTACTGTCTCAGACAGGTGAGCGAGCGACTGAGTTGCCAACTGAACAAACGGGGTGGGTTCAAATCGGGAAGTAACTTTAAAACTCGGGTCTCTTTTGCTTTCTGTTTGTCAATGTAAAATTTTGTTTAATCCTGAAAGATGGGTTAGATAGTTCTGAAAATCTAATAGATTTTGTTTCACTTACAGGACCAAACCCTCAAGTACACTCAGTGAAGACAGCATCAATAGGAACCCTGGGTAGGAGCAGGTCCCCTATGGCAGTAACTGTACCCAGTGCACCAGATGTTGCAGAATCCACTAAAATGTTGGAGGACTCTGATAGTGTAAGTTTGAACTAATTTTATCCAAGTGCTGACTTATCATACAAGCATACATAGCAATTGAGAGCAGTAGGCCACTCAGCCCCTTGAGTCTGTTCTACCATTCAATAATGGCTGACCTGATTTCTTCACATTAACACCTACCCCTGATAACCTTTGATAAGCCACTAACTTTGCACCTCTTTCTGCAGAATTATGGCCCAGATGAACTGACAGAAGAGATGACACATCTCACAGGGTTAATGAAGGATCTGAATGTTATCACTACAGCATAGATGCAGACAGAATACTATCAGTTTCACAAACTGAAAACAGAGCAGGAGTGAAAGGAGTATGTACAAGACACCCAGAGGGTCGGATACAAAACATAATGTGATGTGTTAAGTCTCGTGGAAATTGCCTTTGTGACGATTTCAGTCCAGTGGATCCAGACTTGTGGATAATCATAAAATCCAATTAATGCTATGGAACCTGACAACGCTCAGCTCTGACAGACCTCTGCTGGTTTGGAAATGTACTGGAAGCACCAGTATTGTGTTCAACATTCAATATCGTCTATTTACTGCGTGTTTACGTTTTCTGGTGTTATGAAAAGAATGTTGAATTGTTACTTTGGTATCCAGATGTGATGTTTGACTGCCTCATCATAAGCTGGTGTGAGATGCATCAGTTACTAACGTGGCCATTTCTTGCTTCCTCTGCATCACACAGTGCTGTGGCGAACAGACTATTCTACATCTTCTGATCAAACTGCCAAGTTATCTGCGTTCATCACTGTGATCTCTTAGCAACCCTTCAGAATGTTACTGCTAGACTTGGCAAGTTAGCTGATTAAAGCACAATTAGGAAGAAGGAACTGGCAAGCCCCATCCACAACTAACTCAAGGCTTAGCATGACTGAAAGCACATCAATTTAAAAAGTGTGCAGCAGTTGATATTTTATATGAAGAATAATATCTTTACATGTTCTATTGGAAATCATTTAGCCATAAGAGAAAAGCTAAATACACCCTACCAAATGGGTTCAGATTACAAGTTCTTTCTTAAACTGTATCAAAGGGGGTTCTAGATACCTTATTGGATGGGTTCAAATTACATGGTCTTTATTAAACCTGACCAAACGGGTTCCCATTACATAACCAGCATTAAACCCTATAGATGGGTTCCAATTATTAAAAACTTCAGTAAGCAGGCTCGATTTCCCAGCCCCTCATTGAATCTTGTTGAGTGGCGCATTTTGGTTACTGGATCTGTATTGAACCCAGGAAATGGGTGTGTTTACTGTACATTCAATGGACCTGGTTGAATGGGTGCCAATTATATGACTCTTGGATCAACTCAATAAATTGGGTTCAGATTAGATGACCTTGTTAATTAATGTAGTGAGTTCCAATAACAAAAAATCTTTTTTTTTTCATCCTACCCATACCATCATTGTAATTGCTTCTACAACTATAGGTTTTAACTTTGTTTGTGAATATTGCTTCCCTATGTACATCACCATGAATGTTAATATAACTGTTTTAAGGAAATTTATTGTAATGAATATAACTGAACAAAGCTATTGTGAAGATTTAGATTCTTCCCCAGTTGTAGGCAGTAAAATCATTTTTGCACTTTTTTCATTCTTTTACAAAAACCTGTTTTCTTATGGCTTGTGTTTAAAACTTAGAAAAACCTCTGGTGTATCTGTAGTGTCCTCATTAGCAAAAGCAGCTTTTTGTTTTCCAAGGATGCTGTAGGTGCAAATTGTTTATTAATCATGATGTAGAAATGATGCAAACTACTGTAGTTTATGTACAAAGACCTTTGCTAGTAGCATTATTCTGTGGCTTTTTTAAATTTCATGTTCTAATGTAATAATGGAATTCCAATACATTTTGTATTCAACCAGTAGGCGTGTGAATGTAGAGTTTTATTCATGGTCTACACAGCCTGTGTAATGGATGAATATATATGTTGTTATGCAGATGAAAGCTGTATAGGCTATCGGTTCCTTTCTGCAAAGTTAACCTATCTCAGTTAGAGCACCAAAACTGATGAGTGCCTCTGGTTAAGAGTCTAATAAGAACTCAGCCTGAGTTACCTCATCTCATTACTATTATCCAAAGCTTGTTTGCTGAAAATTGTATGGGGTATATCTTACCAATATTTATGTAGGTATCTTTGGAAATATGCTCTAATAAGGGGGTAATTTGGTAATCAGCTGGGGTTTGCTGTGGAGGGATCAGAAGAAAAACTGAATGCAAATTTTGTGCTGCAAACCAGCATTCCGTCTCAATTTTGGAATTCTGAACTTCAGTTCTGAAGAATTATACTGCTCTTGAAACATAAATTCTGTTTCTGTCACCACAGACACTGCTGAGTTTCTCCAGTATTCTCACTTTTAGAGACTGGATTGAGTTTTCATCAATTCCTATTGGATATAAAGGCAGCGAAGAGAGGAACTGCTTATTGTACTCCTGGCCACCGAATTTCAGCCAATGTCTCAACACTAGATTATTGCTGTTTCCCCCAAGAATAGTAGGGGTAACAAGAACAGAGCTTTGAAATTCCAGTTTAATAAGAATGAATGGATAGATGCTTGCCCCTGGGTTAACCATTCTTGTAAGAACAGTAAATAAATGATCCTCAGAAACCTCTATTTCTGGCTATAATGCAGAAGTTATGGCAATGTAACAAACAACTGCAGCTCACCTGTTCACACTTTGGTTTTTCACACTAAGATAAGAATAATGCATTTAAATTGAAATTACTCTAGTTCTTTAGTCTCCATCTGACAGAATTGCAATTTCTCTAACATGATTTCTGACAGTTGAATGCATCTACAAACTGACAAGGTTGGGAATTCAGTTCTATAATTTCTAGATCAGATCATAGATCCCCTAAAGTGTGGAAACAGGCCCTTTGGCCCATCAAGTCCACACCGACCTACACAGCATCCCACCCAGACCCATCCCCCTATAATCCACCTCATCTACACATCCCTGAACACTATGGGCAATCCACCTAGCCTGCACATCTTTGGACTGTGGGAGGAAACCAAAGCACCCGGAGGAAACCCACGCAGAGACGGGGAGAATGTGCAAATTCCACACAGACAGTCGCCTGAGGGTAGAATCAAACCCGGGTCCCTGGCACTGTGGGGCAGCTGTGCTAACCACTGAGCCACCCTGCCACCCCGCCACCCCATTTCATCCATTTGATCACAAGTACACTTCACAACCTATGCAGAGAAGCTGTTCTTAGAGATTAATGTTTTCTCAGAATGAGGGGAATACGTAACATGAAAAGAAATAGATTGTTGGTTGCGTAACATACATTGTAGCCACCCTATAATCTGTTGCTCGAAAGGCTGTTAAAAGATTCATTTGCATTGTGCAAGACCTGTTGTTCAGGTGATGAGGCAATTTGCAGTAGACAGTCAGAATGCAATAATCTGATGGAGAACAATTGGAGAAAAATAACTAGCTAATATTTTTGATTTTAGTCAAGCTTTATGAAGAAATATATACATTATAACATTTCAGGAATGTCTAGTAATCATTTCATTCTTTGAAAACAAATTGTCTGACATTACAAAACATTAGATTACAAATGATCAGACAGGGCCTCAAAACTTTTTCTACCCAGCACACTTCACAAAAATAAAATTGTAAATGATATCTCAAACCAGTATGGCAAGTTTGAACTTCAGCAGAAGATTGTTGGACAACCTAAGATGCAGAGGACATGAACCATGAATGAGGTTTGTAAATCTTGTGCTTGTTCCAATAAGTTTAGGAGAAATCTTACATAAGTGGAGGAGATAGTTTGAAGAAGTCATTTGGAAAAAGTTACTTCCAGTGATTTATCGCAAGCGATTCAAATAAATGAAGAGAATGAAGTGGATGTTAGGTATTTTTCTCCCAGTACAGCTGCTTCTCAAGGACACATGATTCATAATAGTTTCTAAGGGAAATAGATAAATGAAAAGGTTACAGTACAGACCAAGTGGCATCTCTTTCACAAACTTGGCCAAACAGCCTCCTACTGTAGCATTGTCTAATTCTACTTAAAGTACATGTCACCTTTGCACAGCTGCCTAGAGATAATGACAACTTCCCCTACAATCACTTTTATTGCAGTGAAAATTAAAGTTTTACAAGTACAATGGAAGCAATCACATTATACATTGTGCCATAACTGACCCTTTATCCACAGTCCATACAATAGTAATCTCTGTGTAGGCAATGGAAACTTGTATCTGTGAGTGAATAATGCAGTCTTTGTACAAATGTACTTCAGTTTATGGAGGTGTTTTTATGGTTTATAAACATCAGAACTTTTTGCCTCTGCTACATTCAATGAACTAGTTTACGAAATGTGTCAATATGCTAAACAACTACACAGCTAGTCAACCAAAATTTTACAGTTGATTGGTAGTCTTGCTGAAAATGTTTTGCCAAAGCTTCTCAGCTTACATTTGACAAGACAATTCGCATCCAAGGAACAAAAACATTCATACTGTGAAAGGGGAGTGTGATATTGTTCACAAGTAGACCCTGCTTGATAGAGATATTGTTGTGGAGAATACACCAGCTAATGAAAGTCCTTTCTTCTGAGCCAAGAGGTCCAGATTAAAGTACCACCTACCTGAGAAATATGTAATGCAATTTCTGAACAGGTTAATTTTTTTCTTATTCATTCACGGGTTGAGGACGTCAGCAGCTAGGCAGCATTTGTTGCCTATCCCTAATTGCCCAGAGGGCAGTTAAGAGTCAAGCACATTGTCGTGGGTCTGGATGCAGGCCAGACCAGGATGGCAGGACATTAGTGAACCAGATGGGTTTTTCCAACAATCGACAATGGATTCATAGTCATCATTAGATTCTTAATTCCAGATATTTTTATTGAATGCAAATTCCACCATCTGCTGTGGCAGGATTTGAACCTGAGTCCCCAGAACATTATCTGGATCTCTGGATTAACAGTCCAGCGATAATACCACTAGGCCATCACCTGTCCATATTAGAAATTATCTACACCAGTTAATCATGACTTGGACTTTACCGAACCAACATGCACTAGCAATATTCTTAGCATTCAACATTATACGCGATTCTGCAAATCGGACAACAATTGCTAAATAATTCTGACTGTGCAAAGAATTTGCTCGACAACCAGTTTAGGAATGTCAGTTGGGCTTGCAATGTAGTACACTGGCACATATTGAGAGCTATGTACGTTAATACACAGGGCCCTGGTCTTTGCAAGCATAAAGAACGTATACACTGCACCTGTTTCGTCTCAAAAAAATAGGTGACAATCATTCTCTGGTTCATTTCTCAGAGCAATGCTGACCAGAGTCAATCTGTCTGGTTTAAAACGTAAACAAAGTTTGACAGTTCACTGTCAGCATTATTAACTGGTGTGTTCTGCATGGCAACACCTTTATCAACCACAGTCTACTTGTCAGCCAATCACTATTCCACTATCATACAACATAAATACTGCTTTCCCTTTACTTTGGTATTTGTAGTGAATAGTCTTGATGAGTGCAAGAGCAAAAGTATAAAAAAAAACGCCCTTTCTCTGGCAATATTAAATATCTGAAAGAGAAAAGCTACGATGCCTTCATGAACATATTGCTTCCTCACTTTACCTGCCCTCAGGCATTTTCTACTCCCAATTCCTCCTTGCAGCTCCTTTATAGGGTGACACTCTGAATACTTGTCCAGTAGTCATCCATCTTGTGTGAGCCCAAATAGCAAATGTCCACATATTTTTCTGCGAATGATGTCATTTCCAGTGAATACTACACAGCCAAACTGCTTTGTCCATTCCCCCTTGAAACGGAACAAAATGCAGAATCCTGCACCAATCCTAGCTGAGATCAGCTAACTCAGCACTAACAATCTGAATTCCTCTATTAGTCACACTCCAGTAAGCCATTGTATTTACAGTATGTTTGCGGCCAATGAGGAAAACTCCAGAAACTGGCAATAGTTTGCTTTTATCAAACCCTGCAATATTCTGTAGCTGGAGGGCTATCTATAGGAGGAAAAACCTTAAATTCACATGAACAATCCGAATATTACACAGACTGCTTCTCTTTGTTAAAACAGTAACTGAAGAGGCAGAGAGGTACAACAAAGATTGGGTTTAGGGGTTCTGAGAGTTCAGGACAACAGCCTAGGCAACCCTTCCCCAGTCAGACCAAACTCATGGTTTCTGTTCCAGCTTGGTCCATCTGCAAAAGGTCCTCCATGGGTTGTCCCAACTGAAACCAATCTTTCTTAATAAAAAATACATGTCATACAGGATTTGATAAAGAGTTCCAGCACGTGTTCTTGTTTTAAAAACCAACGCTGTTGATGGTCTGGACATTGACAGACTCCAGCAGACAATTCTTTCCAATGACCTCACACACTCTCACAGACTGCATCCATCAGACAGCTGGGTTTAAGAGTGGCAATGGGTATTTTATTGACTTTAGTAACTTTAGGGATTTGGCCAGCAATAACCTAAGCCTTGTCTCTCTATCTCAGCTCTCACTTTTTGCTCAGGTCATCAGTGCCCGAATCTGCAGCTGACTCTGGTTCCAAGGGTAACGATGGAAGTTTCTGTGTTCGGATCGAGCATCCACCTGCAGTGAGAATAATTCACAGTCAGGGCACCAGCATGTACAATATACAGACCACATTTGTTGTTAGAAAGCTTGACAGGTTATCACAGCTAAATCAAACACAGGTTTACAGAGAAACATAAAATGTGGGAATAAAAGCTTAAGTTTAAAACATTGTGAAAAAGCAGTTTGATCAATTGAAGAGAAATGGCATTGGAAACTCTACAGAGCTGCCATAGCACAAATGACATACATATCAAAGAGTAGGAAGCTTTGGATGAACATAAATATCAAGGATTCAAATGGATCATTTCCAAAAAGTGTACCAGAACACAAAATGCTAAGAATATTTTTGGGTTCAATAAATAATGTCAAAAACTAATAGTAATGATAATTTTCTGCCAAATATTAGTGAAAAATGATATATCAGACCAGGTCACCATTTGAAAAGCAGAGACTGCTGCTGAATTAGAAGGGGATTCAAGGCATCCACAAGGGAGAGGATCCACATTCCACAGTCAAAAGACATCCTCCCAGCTCCAAGCCACGGTATCTTCAGGCTACTGTCACTGCTGCTCTGCTAATCTACACAACTTTAGACAGATTGTAGAAAATTCTCACATTTCCCAATTTTCCCTTTCCCTGGTGAAGATCTGGACTCTTGCTGGAGTACAGGTCTACAGACAATTCTCCGGTTGCCATTCTTCTTATGAAAGTCCAGATGAAGGGTACTGATGGGCTATTTGACAGTGGAAAGCATTCATTCACCTTGCATGTATGTTCCAGAAAGCAGCAAGTAAAAACAAGAAATCCCTTATCAAATTTCCCTTTTCCTAGTCCTGAAATTCAATAAACATCATCACGATTCAGAATCCCCCACTATTCATTTGTCTAAACTGGAATCATCTAACATTTATATGCATAAAACTACATTCAAGAAACCTTTCAATATTTATCTGAATTAACTGGTCTAAAAGCTATAAATGTGTTAAAAAAAGACTAACTTGTTAATATGTCAAACAGAGAGATCTAGGGACTCAGGTACATAGTTCTTTAAAAGTGACATCACAAGTAGACGGGGTGATGAACGCTGGTACTTGGTATTCTTGCCTTCACTGGTCAGTCCACTGAATTTAGGAGTTGGGATGTCATGTTGCAGCTGTACAGGACATTAGGAAGGATGTTATTAAATTGGAAAGGGTACAGAAAATATTCACAAGGGTGTGACCAGGACTGTAGTGTTTGAATTATAAGAGGCGGGATTAGCTGGGACATTTTGCCCTGGAGCATAGGAGGTTAAAGGGTGACCTTATAGAGATTTACAACATCATGAGGGGTCTAGATAAGGTGAACAGCAAAAGTCTTTTCCCTAGAGTAGGGGAGTTCAAAACTAGAGGGCACAGGTTTAAGGTGAGAGGGGAAAAATTTATAAGGGGTCTGAGGGGCAATTTTTTCACACGAAGTACGGTGTGCATATGGAATGAACTGCCAGAGGAAGTGGTAGTTGCAGGTTCAGTTACAACATTTAAAAGACATTTGGACAGGTACATGAATAGGAAAGGTTTACAGGAATACGGGCCAAATGCAAGCAAATGGAACAGGTTCAGTGTGGGAAACCTGGTCAGCATGGATGACTTGAGGCAGAGTCCGATTCATACTGTATGACTCTATGAGAGGGATGATGATTATTTCCCCAAATAAAGCAAACTTTATTTTAAGTGGTAACAGGTTCCCAGAATTTGGAGTTCAATGATCTGCTTCTTACCTGCAGAGAGCTGCATTGTTTTGCTATAACCTGCAGCTGATGACATAGCCTGGCCTAGAGCCTGGTTGGAGCCAAGGGGTTGTTGGTTGGTGGTAGATTTACAGGATGATGCTGGATGTTCTCTTGATTTAGAATCCTTTGCTGGTTTTGTCCAGACCAGATTCTCCCCAACCTGAAGAGCAGCTCCAATCTTCTGAGCCATGTCTACCAGCTGGAATGTATTAAATAATTAGTATCAGTCAACAAATATTCTCATCTCAATATCAACCCTAGAACAGAGGAATAATTCAATAATTATAGAAAAATATTGAGTTTCTGTGCATGCATATGGGAGGGTGAAGCTTTGAAATGGAAGGACAAGTTTGTGAAATCATCTTTATACTTTTAAAAATATCACACAAAATAAAACCTGTAAGTCAACTGTAACTATGCATCAATAGTACAAGAACCTTTGAACTAACAACTAGTGGATCTCCTGTATCTGCAGTTTGGGGATGTGGAGTTAAGTTTTCTGACAAATTGTATAGAGTGTAACAAACTGTGTGCCCTTTGAAGAAAGGAATGTGAGTTTATTTTTGCATCCTACCAAATCTTTATGTAAAATTGAAAGCCAACTTGCACACAAAGATCCCAGGAGCAGCACCAAGATAGTGTTCAGTTAATCTAGTTTTGATGGTGTTGTTTGAGGGTAACCCCTTACCGAGGTTCGTCTGTTCTTCAGATGCCCTATCTCAAATAGTACCACAGAATTTTTAATACTTACAGAACCTCAGTTTGACATCCTACTTGAAGCACAGAAGTTCCAATAGGAACGGGACCATTCAGCCCTGAAAGCTTACACCTGCCTTATCTGTATCCCACCTTCATTTACCCAACTCTACTCCATATCCCTTACAAATATAGTATTAATGCAGTATACTTTTTTCAAAATACAAATTTCAACAGGAACACACACAATATGAAGCCTTTAAATTGTAGCAAGCACAAGTTGCATTATTTCAGAGCTCAGACTGCCAAATAGGTTAGGCTGGAAACAGCAGGACAGATGTAAGGCAAAACAGGAAACAGTGTTACAAGTGTTTAATTTAAAATCAATCATTCAGATGGTATCTGACATGTTATCATTCACAGTGTTGCATCTCTAGTTGAGATCTGGGAGATGAAATTGAATCTTGAATTCAAGATTATTTGGCTTGCAACAAGTTGACAATGATTACATTGATGAGATATTATCAGAGTACCTCTGGATCAAATTCCGGCATGTTATTACTGGCTTTCAGTTTATTGACCTTCTTCTCCATTTCCTGATATTGGTGAAGGGCTCCCTTTTTGTCCCCTTGATTGTACAGTAAAATGGAATAGTTTAAATTCACCAGCGGGTTTGACCTATAGAAGAGAGAGAAAAAGACTTTCACTGCAAAGATTAGCCTGCCTCCCATCAGGATCCACGTGACACTTCACACAATAGTACTGTCAATCAGAAAGTATATTAAAATGTGTTACGAACACAGTTATTATGAGAACTGATTAATGGAGTTGCCAAGGATTTATCATGTGACTGCCTTGAACTGGAAAATCAGGAGGTAAAAAGGAGATTGTAGTCTATTAGCCATTTACAATTTTAAAAAAGTGATTTTTGAAAGTAGTGTCCAGCAAGGGTTTGAGAGAGAGAGAGATAAGAATGGAGTTCTATTGCTTTAATTGTTAAAAATTGTTAAAAATCTATACTGTTATTGCCTAGCAACATCACCTGGACTGAGGTAATAGGTGCTCCAGAGGCATCAGTTAACATCCTTGGACAGGCTGATTAGAATATAAACGGGTGTTTTCTGAATACGCACCTAGAAACTGCAGGTAGTTACTTGAAAAGTTGGGCAAGTAGTCTTGTCTATCAGCCTGTAAGAATCAGAACGCGGAACTAAAAGCACTCTTTGTTGATCTCTTAGTGAAACAGTGTGAAAATTTCAAATATCAAGATTCCCAAGTGTTTCACAGCTGAATCTGAAGAGGGTCTGAAGGTTTCCCATCATTCTGCAACCAACTATTTCTAACTACTTCTCTAAATGTAACTCATCAAAATTCACTTTGGTTACTCACCAGAAGACTTTAGTTGTTTTCAAAGCCACCTTCAATTTAACATGACAAACCTTTCAGTTTCTGTCCTTTTATCACGTACCAATTACCATTACTCCACATCCTAAATATTTGAGTCCCCAGATAATGTTTCTACTGACAGGAGGAATGCACTGAAATTGAGACTCATTACTCCACAAGCCATAACAAGAGCTTAAACATCTTACTCAATCATCAAAATTGGTAAATTTGTTTATCTTTATTACTGTTAAGTAGAACAAAAGAAGTTCCAATAATTCCAAAAATAACATTTATTACAAGCAAACTACATGAACTCACTAAAAAAAACTGAAGAAACTGTGAGAAAATCACCTCATTCTACCATTTTAGTTTTGATCAACAGGATTTCTCCATTTTTTTCCACTCATTATTGCTCCACAGAGATGGATCCTTGTGACACAGTGGTAGTGTCCCTATCTCTGGACCAGGAGGCTCAGAGCCAAGTCCTACTTGCTCCAGAGGTGTGCATTAATATGGCTGAACAGGGTGATTAGAAAATATCTTTCTCTGCAGAGCTGTGCACATTATTTACTGTGTATGAGTGTATATGTTTGGGATTAAGTAGTAGAGTTGGACTTAGAGTAGCTAGGTTGATAGCCAGTTTCCTACTTTCTTAAAGAAGTTTACCTGTGAGAAGTGTGTTATTTTTGAGTTTACTGAAAAATCTGATGATATGCTCTTTTGTTCTAGTTAACAGTAATAAAGAGAAACAAACTGGCCATTTTTGATCATCAAAAAAGACACTTACACTTTTGGAAGGACTTCTGGGAACAGTGGAGCTCAATTTCCAGCACACTCCGCCTGCCAGAGCTGTAATAAGTAACAAATGAAAGACATTAAAATCTGGCTCAGCTCCATGGGAGTGGCTGTGGCTATGAGGCAGAGATTCTCTCTCTGTAAATCCCATAAGGAGTGCAGACAGGGTCAAACTCAGCTGTGATGTCAAACATAGTTATGTAGTCTGCCAGCATTCATTGGAGAGTTAGCCTCTTGGGGTGCGGTCCTGGAAGGTATTTGATGCCTCTGAAACCAGTACTTTGTATGAATGTGGCTGGTAGAGTGTAGAAGATAGTCTTTTTTCCTCAATCTATCAACTTCACATTTTCCCATGTTAGTGCACGTCAGAAACTAGCTGAAGCAACATGGAAAAAAGCTGTTTCTTTCAATTGGTGAATGACAGAACAATATCAGAGTGGGCGTAAGTCGATCAGAGAAAGGTGCCCTGATGCAGGATAACAAGATAATCTGAGAGACAGAGTGCGAGAGGTGGGGGAGCCTGATAATACAGACAATACTGCATCTAATAAAAAAAACTTGTATCAGTAAGATACTGCTGCAATAACCACAGAGCAAAATAAAAGCTTTATCATCAGCAATTTGATAGAATCTTTCCCAAGAGATCATCTAATTGAATCTTTAACATCCATCAGCTCATGTCCCACCGATACTCACTGCTCCAAACTCACTGCTTGGTTGTAGGCTCTCTTTGCATTGTCAGGATCTGCCAGGTTTGTTAACGTCACTGTAATAAGAAACGAACATAAGAAAATCCACACTCACTGGGATGTTTCAATACATCCACCATTTCCCCACAGGTTTGTGCCACTCAAGTCCTGACCTCTGATCTCATCCACCCTCTGACCTGCTCTTTCACTCCTCTAACTCTGACTTCTTGCAAATCATTTCACTGTTGAGAGGCACATGCCTAGTTACCTTGGCATGACTCCCTCCCTAAACACTCAGTCCTCACTACGGACTTGTTCATGCACTTCTCTCCATATCGCCCCACGTTCAATGTTCATTTTAGTTCCTCAATAAAAATGCTGCTGAATAAGGGAGCTGTTTAGTTTCAGATCAGGACCCTTCTTCAGAAAAAACTAATAGAATTAAAACTAACAGAATTATGACCATTTGCCCCAAAGTGCTCCCCCACTGGCACCTTCATAATTTTCCCTGCCTTATTTCCCAACAGAAGGTCAAGTTTTGCTCCTTCTCTAGTAGGTACATCCACAAACTGAAGAAAATCCCAACATGGTGATCATCCCTTTCCTAATTTCTCAGTTTCACCCACATAACTTCACATGACAATCTCCCAGGCTAGTTTAAAGCCTCCTGAGTAGCAGTAGCAAAATTACAGTAGAGCCAGAGACGTAACCAGAAACCTGGCTGGCAGTACTACACTCACCTGTGAGACCATTCCCCCCCACTACAGTATCCAAAACAGTACATCTGTTTGAGATGGGTTTCGTCACAGGAGACTCCTGCACTACCTGCCTCCCTCTCCTACCATTCCCAGCAGTCAACCATCTACTTGACTGTATCTGTGGTTTTTCTACCTTCCTGAAAATGCCATCCGTCACAGCCCGTGAATCTTGTAAACTCATTTCCTTTTAAGTGCCGCTCCAACCGATCCATGCAGTCCAATAGAAATCGCAACGAAACACACTTCCTGCAGACGTAGTCTCCAGAAACATTCAAATTCTCCCTGACTTTCCATGTCTGAGCGGAAGAGCACATCACCCTACTAAAAGCCATTTCTGTCCCCTTTAACAATCTACAGATCCAAAACAGTCTTACAGATCAAAGATACTGCCCTGGGATAACTTAATACCAACCCTTAATATTAAAAGTCAATCAAGAGAGGGATCACAGTATAAACATAATTTTAAAAATAGCCTGATCTTACCATTACGGATTTACAAAAAAAAAATCACATTGACAAGAGCTATAATGCCTCATTCCAGGACAAACAGACAGTCAGCTCACTCCATTGCAAAATGTTCACTGATTCTCACATTTTGTTATGAAAATTAGACCTGGGTTCTCTGGGTCACTTTACACATGAGGCTTTAAGTTCTTCTCCATGGTGTAACTGATTGTGTTGCACTGCAACATAGAGAAGGGACGGAGAAGTTTCCCAGATGTTCTTAATAAATTTACATGGTGCTGCTTCTCTAGTGAGGGGCAAAGCTTCAGTCAGCTATGTAAATATTACTTTCTTAACTGGATACGTCTGCTAGAGGTGGTAAATGTCCCCAAATTAGGAGAAGAAAATGGAAACGGGTATAGGTTCTGCATTCAACTGTTTCCCAGCAACCCATTAATGGAATACAAGGAGGAGGACAGGATCAAACCTGTATGTGGGGCAACACTTATCGATTCTCACTGTCTGGGGTCTCACAGTAGCAGGGGATGACTGAACTGGTTAAAGGAGCTGGTGGTTCTGTATCCACAAATGAATCAATGCTTTGAGGAGGGATAAGGTAAGACAGGCATCATGCTGGTGTACACTCACTTAGTGAAGACGTAAATGTTAGGAAGAGTTAATGATTGTGTTGGTCAAATGCTAAAGCCAATTCCACACTCACCAGCCAGCAACATGTACAACTCGCCCATTCTCGGCTGCATGTTGATGGCAGCACTCAGGAAGTGGAATGCTGACGCATATTGCTGCATTGTCAGGTGCACCAAGCCCAGGTTATAGAGAATTTTCCAATCAAAGGGAGCCAGGTAGTTGGCTCGCTTCAAGCAACTGATAGCCTGGAGTAACGTAAACAACACCACAGCCATCACTTCAGCAGAATGAGCATTTATCATTTCAGCATCACTTTAACATTTAAAATCACCACTGTCAACCAAAAGGATTTCTGAATGTACATAATTAATCTGGAGAATGAAGAGAGGACCAAGTGCTGTACTGTGCCTCGAAATACTGACCTATACTTCACTCCAGCACAGTCTGATGACATGAGGGACATCTCTGCTAGCCATTTTTGAACGTCAACATGAAATGCACTTTAGACAGTGTCACCTCACTTCCTCATTGGGCTGGGCCTTTAATGATGGCACAAAATTGCAATCTCAGGAGTTGACAGTTTGTGAGAAAGATGAAAAAACGTCACTGCACAAGAGGTGGTCTTGAGAACGGCTCAAGTGGTCTCAAGAATAGCTCAAGTGGTCTCTCATTAAGCTGTCCTGGGAGTGTTTGATAGTGACAGTGTAGAGGCAGCTTTACTCTGTATCTAAGCCTGTGCTGTCCCTGTCCTGAGAAAGTTTGATGGGGGACAGTGTAGAGGGAGCTGTTCTCTGTGTATAACTCTGTGCTGTATCTGCCCTGTAGGACCTTAACATTGCTGTAGAAGTTTAGTAATCAGCAGGCTGGTGATCAGGACATCCTGCTGCTTCCACTCTTTTCTTCCTGCCTGAATGTTGACTTAAAAGGGTCAGTAATAAAACAGTCACTGTCTTTTCAGTTTGTAGTTGCAAGTAATCTTGGTTAAAACGGCAGTTGTTACTGTTTAAACTCAGTTATATTCCAGTCCTTTTTTTTTCTCTATTCATTTGTGGGATATGGATGTCACTGGCAGGGCCAGCATTTCTTGCCCATCCCTAGTTGCCCTTGAGAAGGTGGTGGTGAGCTGCCTTTTTGAACTGCTGCAGTCCTCCTGCTGTGAGTTGACCCACAATGCCATTAGGGAGGGAATTCCAGGATTTTTACCCAGGGACAGTGAAGGAACGGCGATATATTTCCAAGTCAGGATGGTCAGTGACTTGGAAAGGAACATGGAGGTGGTGGTGTTCCGATATATCTGCTGCCCTTGTCCTTCTAGATGGAAGTGGTCGTGGGTTTGGAGGGTGCTGTCTGAGGATCTTTGGTGAATTTCTGCAGTGCATCTTGTAGATAGTACACACTGCTGCTACTGAGCATCGGTGGTGGAGGGAGTGGGATGTTTGTGGATGTAGTGCCAATCAAGCGGCTGCATTGTCCTGGATGGTGTCAAGTTTCTTGAGTGTTGTTGGGGCTGCACCCATCCAGGCAAGTGGGGAGTATTCCATCACACTCCTGACTTGTGCCTTGTAGATGGTGGACAGGCTTTGAGGAGTCAGGAGGTGAATTACTCGCTGCAGTATTCCCAGCTTCTGGCCTGCCCTTGTAGCCACTCTGTTAGTGTGGTGAGTCCAGTTGAGTTTCTGGTCAATGGTAACCCCAGGATGTTGATAGTGGGGGATTCAGTGATGGTAACACCATTGAATGTCAAGGGGCGGTGGTTAGATTGTCTCTTATTGGTGATGGTCATAGCCTGGCATTTGTGTGGCGCGAATGTCACTTGCCACTTGTCAGCCCAATCCTGGATATTGTCCAGACCTTGTTGTGTGTGAGCATGGACTGCTTCAGTATCTGAGGAGTCGCGAATGGTGCTGAACATTGTGCAATCATCGGCGAACATCCCCAATTATGATGGAGGGAAGGTCATTGATGAAGCAGCTGAAGATGGTTGGGCTGAGGACACTACCCTGAGGAACTCCTGCAGAGAGGTCCTGGAGGTGGGGTGATTGACCTCCCACAACCACGACCATCTTCCTATGTGTCAGGTATGACTCCAACCACCGGACCATTTGTCCCCTGATACCCATTGATTCCAGTTTTGCCAGGGCTCCTTGATGCCACACTTGGTCGAATGCTGTCTTGATATCAAGGGCTGTCACTCTCACCTCACCTCTGGAATTCAGCTCTTTTGTCCATGTTTGAACCAAGGCTGTAATGAGATCAGGAGCTGAGTGGCCGTGGTGGAACCCAAACTGGGCGTCACTGAGCAGGTTATTTCTGAGCAGGTGCTGCTTGATAGCGCTGTTACTGACACCTTCCATCACTTTACAATGATCGAGAGGAAACTAATGGGACGGTAATTGGCCGGGTTGGATTTGTCCTGCTTTTTGTGTACAGGACATACTTGGGCAATTTTCCACATTGTCGGGTAGATACCAGTGTTGAAACTGTACTGGAACAGCTTGGCTTGGGGAGCGGCAAGTTCTGGAGCACAAGTCTTCAGTATTATTGACGGAATGTTGTCAGGGCCCATAGCCTTTGCAGTATCCAGTGTCTCTAACTGTTTCTTGATATCACATGGACTGAATTGAATTGGCTGAAGACTGGTATCTGTAATGCTGGGATCCACTGGAGGAGGCCGAGATGGACCATCCACTCGGCACTTCTGGCTGAAGATTGCTGTGAATACTTCAGCCTTATCTTTTGCACTGATGTGCTGGGCTCTTCCATCATTGAGGATGGGAATATTTGTGGAGCCTCCTCCTCCAGTAAGTTGTTTAATTGTCCACCACCATTCACGACTGGACAGGGCAGGACTGCAGAGCTTAGATCTGATCCGTTGGTTGTGGGATCGCTTAGCTCTGTCTATCACTTGCTGCTTTCGCTTTTTGGCGCGCAAGTAATCCTGTTTGGTGGCTTCACCAGGTTGATACCTCATCTTCAGGTATGCTTGGTGCTGCTCCTGGCATGCCCTCCTGCACTCTTCATTGAGCCAGGGTTGATCCCCTGGCATGATGCCCCAAACAATACAGATTTTCCTACTTGACTATGAACATAGGCTGCTATAGAAAAGGAATAACTGGATGTGGTCTATGCTGAGGGCACCAGTACAGTTTGGTCATCCAGGTAGTAAGAAATGTACTGGTTCTTTTACTATGAGGAAACTGCCACTAGAGAAGGGCAGATGGAGTTCATTCAGTGCTACAAGCCCTTTGTACTGAGCATCCATTCAGTTGGCTTCTCCATGAAGCACTACCTGCAGTTTTCAGGTTTCAATAGGAGTGCACATCTCCTGCTGGCTGGCAGTGGGCAGAGATGATGATTGCAGCTGGTGTATAGTGACACTGTATGGCCCGGGAGTGGCTATTCCATGCCATGGATCCAATAGAGAAGACTATCATTATAGCAGATTATACACGAATGCTATCGTGAAAAGATTTAGGTAACAGAATCATAGTTTCCAGTTCCAGACATAGGTAACCATTTACTGTCACAAAAGCCAAGTCTTATAGGAACACTGTTTATAACTGGGCGGGACTTTGCGCTGATCGGAAGCTTCTCGTTATACTCACTGCCACGTATTTCTTCTTGCCAAAGAAACACATTCCAATGTTGTTCCACAGGGGCGGGCTTTCTGGGACGGCATGCGCTGCTATTCTGTACTTACTCAGGGCAACATCAAAGTCACTGTGAGTCTGCATCATACTGCCTGCAGCCAGGATGGCCTAAGCAAAAGAGGCAGAAAATTAGAGAACGACAAAAAAAATCACATCTGTGCATACTTCACTATATAAGAGATCAATAATGTAACAACACAAGCTTACTGTTATAAGAGATCAATAATGTAACAACACAAGCTTACTGTCCATGAGAGTAACAGCCACCATAATCAAAATGATTATTTTTGCATCGGTGAATTAACAGCATGTTTGCAGTTACTCAAGAAGAAATCATTTTTTTGAATAAACGATGACTCCATAGACAATTACTGCAACTTCACAGAAGTATTTCAGAAACATTAGCACAAAAAGGCCATAAGTCCCCATTCAGCCTGCTCCCATCATTTAGTAAGATTGTGGTTAATCTTTAACTCCACTTTATTACTGGGTGTCCACATCCTGGGGTATCATCAGAATTCAAAATCTATTGCTCAGCCTTGAAATTATTCAATGGATGACTGTTCAGGAACTGAATCCTAACTTCACAACTTCCTCAGTGAAAAAATGTTTTTCTTTTATTCGTTTATGGGATGTGAACGTCACTGACTGGGCCCATTCACAGTTATCCTGAATAAGGTGGTGGTGAGCTGTTTTCTTAAACCGCTACAGTTCATTTGGTGTGGGAACACCCGCAATGCCATCAGGGACGGAGTTCCAGGATCTTGACCCAGTGATACTGAAGGAATGGCGATGTATTTCCAAGTCAGAATGGCAAGTGGGTTGAAAGGGAATTTGCAGGTGGTGGTATTACCCAAATCTCTTCTCAGTCTTAAGCAGCCACCCCCTAATTCCGAGATTGTGAACCCTTGCTTCAGACTCTCCAGCTGAGCAAACAGTCTTTTAGCACCATCTCTGTTACCATAGTAACAAAATACTTAACCTGCCGTAGAAGATCAGCAACTTCTACTTTGATGAGTAAATGCCAGTGAACAATCCTTGCACTGTTGAATACCAGGAATTCTGAACTGATTCAAAGCAAGAGATTTCAGTTTTTTTTCTTTTAAAGGATGTTTCATGATCTTTGAACACAAACCAATCGTAACAGTGTTACAGAAATATAATTTTTAGTTTCATCACTCAAAGGTAAGTACATCTGACTTGGCAAAGTTTCACATGTTGTACCCAAACAGATTACAATTAGTACCTTGTAATTATTGGGGTTGTAGGTAAGTGCATTTCCTAGATGTTCAAAGGCTTTCTGATACATTCCAAGCTGAAAGTCAGAAACACAAAATATTGTTGATCGCCATTTTTTTTTAAATAGAAAATTTTAGTCTTATTATGTACAAATAAACAATGTAATGATGTCAATCGCATGACCTAGTTAGGCAATAACAGCAGAAAGATGACTGAAACCATTAGAACAAAGGCTGTTTAATTTCAAGCTGGTGATTTATCACAGCACCAGAATCATCTATCTCGGTCTCTTTCTCCAAAGTAAGGAGTCACACAGTAACAACTGTGTAAATATACTCACAGACAAAATGTATGTATAAACACACTGACGCAGGACATGCAGATGCACACGTGCACAATGACCTCCATGTGTAATCAGAGTCCTGAAGACAAGGACCATGTACAGTGATGTGTCAGTCAAATTCCATTTCAATTGATTTTGGGACGTTCCCCAGTGATTTAGGGATTATATTCTGTAATTTAATTCATTATTCCGTGAAAAGTGCAAACGAGTGACCTTTTTGATAATGTATCAAGTATGGTTCTTAGGGGGAAAAGGGCTGAACTATTTTGTTATGTATCTTTTTGTTACAGGCCTACTTTGTGCCACAGCTGTAATATTACCTGCAGGTATAGTAATCCCAATGTAGTCAGAAGCTCAGCATTTTCAGGAGAAAACCTACAAGGAGGAAACAGATGCTGACATTATTTTAGAAATTCGCCTCACTGAAATTCTGAAATAAATGAATTTTCTGTGATTTAGAGATTTCAGTAACATATCAAAGACTGGCTTTTCTGATTTCCCCTCACTATAATGCCCTCCACACTCAATCAGTATGCAGTCTTTGAACACCATTGTCTGCACTCTAGAATTCTCTTCCAAACTTCTCCACCTTGCTGTTTCTCTCCAAATCCTTAGGACCTTATCCCATCAATGGATCTCGTATCACCTTCCATGTTTCTCCACTTATCTACTGTGTCCACTGCTTCCAGTCACTCTATTTTAGGTTGCTTTCTTGTTTAAAACATTCTGAATAAACATTATTCATTATATGGCTAATCTTCTTTATCTGAATAGTCAGTCTTCACTCTCTGCATTTTTATTTAACATTGAAAACTTAAAGAATTCAATACTCACTCCACTGCCTTCTTATATGTTTCAATTGCATTTTGGGTATTTCCCTCCATTAAGTGTAGCTTCCCGAGCACCATGAAAGTCAGATCATGACGGCTGGTTTGTAAAGCACAGTTCAGATATTCCTTAGCCTGAAATAAAGATAAAGATTCTCACTGACTCTGATAAGTTGGGTTCAATTATTTAGATGAACAGAGGTGCACAGAATCCACAGCATATAAATAGGTCATTTGTCAATAGCATGATCAGTTGATCAGTAGCCTTTTACCACTCCTCATCCAACTTCATCAGCCAATCCTTCTACTGTTTTCTCCCTCCTTTTTATGTAGCTTTCCTCAAACATATCCATGCTATACACCTCAGTTACTCCCTGTGGAACCGAGTTCCACATTCTCACTACTCTCTGTATAAAGATGTTATTCCCGAATTCCTTACTGGAATTCAGTAACTATTTTATACTTACAGCTCCTAATTTTCCCCATGGTTGGAAACACATTCTCTAAATCTGGTCTACCAAACTCATCACCTTAAGAGACCCTCATCAGGTCATTCTTTGCTCTTCTCCACTCTACAGAAAATACCTCTCAGCCCTTATTTGACAAATAAATTCCTTGCTTCTGCAATGATCTTTAGGATTATTTCTGAACCTTCCCTACAGCCTCTACGTATACATAGTTAGAACTGTGCACCATATTCCAAAGTCTGGTCTAACCAAATTTCAATTCAAGCTTAACAACTTTTTTGCTTTTCCAAAATTCCCTAGATTCGGGGGAAGTTCCAATATATTTCAAAAAAGCAAGTGTGATTCCTTCATTTGAAAACAGAGGGAGACAGAAAACAGGAAACTACAGGCTGTTTAGCTCAACATTGATCATTGAGAAGATGACGGAAACCATCATTAAACATAAATAGCCAGGCACTTAATGGCACAGTTAGCATGGTTCTTGCAAGAGAAATCATGTTTAATCAATTTACTGGAGATCAAGGAAGAAGTGACATATGCTGTGGATAAAGGGAAACTGGTGTATGTACTCTTACATTTCCAGCAGTCATTTGATAAGATGTCACATCAATGATTGCAAAAAATAATAGCTCATGTTGTTAGGGATGTTAAGTCATATTTAACACCACTTGAAGGGCATACATTTTGAAGAATTATGAAAAATTGATATATTTCAAGCTTTGTGGAACTTCCTGGAGTGATTTCTTTAAGAGGTCATTGAAAGTTCACTGTGAACACAAATTCTTTTTCAAAGCTTCCTAGAAGTCACGTGATTGATGATACTGGTTTGCTTGCTATGGACCCTGCTGGGGCTGTTTTGTAGCTCAGCAGGTTAGGCTGCATCTGTGAAGAAAAAATATCAGAGTTAACGTTTCGGGTCCGGTGACTCTTCCTCAGAACTGATGGTGGCTAGGAAAATGTCAGTTTATGTGCAGAAGATAGGGAGGGGGATGGCGTAGGGAATAAACAATAGGATAAAGGATAGAGCCCAAAGAGAGAGAAGAGCAGTTAGATAGACAAAG